GGGGGGGGTGTAGGTCTTGGGGGGGGGTGTAGGTCTGCAGAAGATCAGTGAAAGAGGAGGGGGGCAAGATCATGAATGGCTCTGAATGTTAAATGCAGTATTTAAAAGTGTGTTTGGTAACTACTTGAGGGGGCACAAATACTGTAGTAGTTACACTCTTACTTAAAGTATTCATTAACCGATAAGTATGTGTTAGTTATGCACTTATCCCATATTTGTTCATCATTAATCATAATGGTTTATGTATTTCATGCAGTTACTATATTTGTTCATGATTTGTACTTGAGTAATAACTGAGTTACTAAGTTACTTCAAGCAAAGTGTTACCATGTATTTAATGGGACACAGGGAGCCAGTGGAGAGGCATGCGGAGAGATGTCATGTGGACAGGGGTCTTGAACACGTAATTATCCTGACTGCAGAATTCTGGATGAGCTGTAGCTGATAAAGAGGCTTACTGGTGACACAAGAGAGAACAGGGTTACAATTGGTCAGTGTTTCCCAATCTGGTCTGCGGGGACCCCCAGTCAGTCCATGTTTTTGCTCCTGCCGAGGTCCCTGCCAGACAGTCCACATTTTTGCTCCTTCCAATCTCCCAGAGGGAGCAAAAACGTGGACTGCTTGTGGGTCCCCAAGGACCAGATCGAGAAACACTGCAATAGACTATACAGGACATAATCAGAGCACTAAGCTAACCTGCAGTGCTGCGCTGTGTGAAAGGTGGACAGAGTCTGGAGATGCTTCCCAGGCTGGGAATGTTATTGATATGTGATGCAAAGTGGGGGCTCGTTCTTTCCTGGTTGGCTGGTTTAATGGCCAACATTCCTGCACATCCAGGCAAAAAGAAAGCAAGGCAACTGAAATAAAAAACTAAAAAAAAAGCAAACACATGTTCCTTTGAAGTGCACCTTTTCATGCTTTTCTTGTTCTTATGTGAGAGTAAAGCAGGAGACACACACCTTAAAGGCTACATTTTATCTATGCAGAATAACCCAGTAAGAGTCTTTCGTGACTCACCAGCAGTCCCACAGAGTCACTGTTGGTCCCTGTCTGCAGCTCATTGAACGGCAGAGGCCAACCTGCCCATGAGGTGAAGCAGCTTCAAACACCATCCGAATCACACACACAGGTGTATAAACACACCAAACCAAGGCAACCATCTCATAGCATCCCTACTAGCCGACTCAGCATCAGTGATCAGTTTCAGTTATCTGATGCTCGTATTCAAAGCAACTTACAGCTGAGGGAATCATGTGTGTCCCCTGGGATTTGAACCCACAACCTTTGCATTGGTAACATAGTCCTCTACTTGTTGAGCGTCCCTGTCCCTGCGAAAGCAGCCCCAAAGGCCAGGCTGTGGTTTTAGCACAATCTCATTACCAGTGAGGTTTCATATTGTTGGACAATTTACCCCTTCCCCCTTTTCCAGTAATACTCCACACCATCCAATCTGCTCCCATGTTACCAGTAAGGTTCCCCTCACATTACCAGTAAGGCCCCATCCTGAAAAAAGCCACATTCCATCTGTTCACTGAAGGGTCTATTATTTTCTTTATTTCACCTTTTCTTTTTGTGCTGGTTTAAAAAAGAATGTTCTCATTTACTCTCCATATCTAAATATACATATTTGTCCTTGGGGACGCCTTGGGGTTTTTTTTTGCGACTGTTTGATGTGAGTCTCTTGATGGAGGATGTTTGCAGTAAGCGGTGGGTCACAAGCACCTGGAGGTACAGCAGAGCTTCTCCTACTTTTTGTGTTATACGCAAAGTGCCACGTTACGAGCAACTAAAAAAAGACATATAAAATGGGGAAAAGTGAATGAGGTACTTAGTTATAAAATTGGTCCTTTTTTTTCCTTTAAGCTCAGGCAATTCAACCCATCTATCACCGATGTTTGTGCAGGAGCCATATCGCATGAGTTCTGTTTTCCATTTACAGATGCTTCTCAACTTACGATGGGGTTACGTTCTAATGAATCCATCGTAAGTGGAAAATATTGTAATGGAATATGAATGTGATATAAGTAAATACATACCTACTGACACTAAGTATTTAAAAAAAATACTGTAACTAATTAAATACCAGTCACTGGAAAGTTTATATGCATCGCCCTACTTCAGCAGAAAGTATCGTACGGCATATCGCTGACTGGGAACAGATCGAAATTCAAAGTGCGATGAATACTGAATGTGCATCGCTATCGCACCATCGTCAAGTCGAAACATTGTAAGTCAAACCATTGTAAAGCAAGGAACATTTGTATATTTGAAATATTGCTGTGCATATTAGTGCCAAATAATCTATTAAATTTACCTGTCAAGTTACCTGAACCCATCCAAATACCTGCATCTAATGATGTGTATCAGTCACATCACCCAGGATTATACCTGTAGGGAAGTTGGGTCATGGGTAAAAGGACGTAGGAGGAAATAGTTTTCTAGTTGTCAGGTTGCTTCTAAAGTTAACAGTATAATTTTAATGGAATTAAAAATCGGACTTTTGTTTGTTTGTTTCCTTTGTTGTACTGCATGGTGATGATCTCATTATCAGCATCTAACAAAAGAACACGGTAGAGTTTGTGTTAACAAGAAGCCGCCTGGCACGATCTGAGATGCCGTCACACCCGGACAGTCAGGGAATGAGATGCAGACCCACGCGTGTGGCCTTCGCATAGCAAGTTGTCTGGTGTGGAAGTAGGCGGTGGTGCTGGAAACTTTACTGTGAGGATGTGAGATGGACTGGCGCAAAAAACCCAGCAGAGAAATGGACACAGGGGATGTACTCAGTGCCATGGAAAGAAGGACTGAAAGATGAAAAACACATTTGATCCAGGGAAACAGGACTTAAGGCCCTGGATTGCATCAAATCTGAAAATAATTTCTTAATTTAAGCACTTATTTACTTAGCAATTAAATTCTCCCTAACTTCTGTTGCAGGTTCCGCAGTGGTAATCATATGTATTAATGACCAATAAGCAAGAAAGGCATTTAACAGGAGTCAAATCAGGGCAGGAGATGTTGCGAAAAGAAGCACTTCAGGGCTGCTAAGGTCAGGTAGGGACAGACTCACAATGAGTGAACTCAAAAAGATCACGGCCATCTCAGCAGGGCCTGCGAATGTGACCCGAGGAGGGGGCTGAATCAGGTGCGGCATGAGCCCACATGGCTGTGGGGGTGGACTTGGCTCAAGTTACTTCAGGCCACAAAAAAACAAAGAAAACAATTTTTTACACTTCGAGATGTATGAGAAACTGTGAAAGTAGCCAATCCGCCAAAATTCCAGTCAGCGGATTGTCACTCCTGCCATCCTCCCACATTCCTCAGCGAAGCAACGCTTCATGTAGCTTACTGTCACATATATACTAAGCCATACAATTTACAATTTTATGCTTCTTTTTCCTTTATTGTACTTTTTTTTTGCTGGTTATTTATTTTAAAATTCATTTTCATTTAAGGGTACAGCAGCAAAGCCCTACCAGGGACATGACGTTTTATTCAGAGGTATTAGTGCCGGTGTTGTACCTTATTGCCCTGCTCCCACCGTCTGCTATCAAAGGCAGAGTTCGCCCTCTAAATGCCTTTGTGAGTACATGAGGCTGTCGTTCGGGCTCCATGGTTCCCCCGCCACTCAGGCAGGGGGTGAAGACTACAAAGACTGAACAGCATAAATATGGAATGCTACGCCCTACTCCATCCTCTCTTTAAATTCATTGCTGTATCCCCTCCTCCTTCATTCATGTCTCCTTCTCTCTCTCCCAAGTCTAAACACCGCAGAGAGCTGGCAGGCGAGTGTAGGAATCCAATCCAAAATGCTACTGACCTCAGTGGCAGCAGAAAGGACAGAGGAGAGGCAGGTCCTTGCACAATCATACAAGTGTCAAGGTATTCTGCATAGGGGAGTGACCCCCAGTGCTGTAAAACTGTTAGACTCTTGGCCCCACTGTCAAAGAAGCACCAGTTTACTGAATTAAGTGAAAGTGTCTATTAAATGAGCCTGTTTCCTCCCGAAGCAGCATCTATCTTTCTTAGGAATCTGTTTTTAGAAAAACTGAACTGAAGGAACAGACGACTGTTACGTCACGCCGCTCACTGGCACAGAGACCGCGGCCCAGAGTGACTCATGGCTTACACAGTTTATGCTGTGCCTGTCTGCAGAGTGACTCATGGCTTACACAGTTTATGCTGTGCCTGTCTGCAGAGTGACTCAAGAGTCATGCGGGGAATAACAACCCAGCAGTAATTTCATTATCCACGTCCACCTCTTTGAGTTTTTCTGTTGCGAGTTTCATGGGGAAAAATACACCAGCAGTTTTAAGTTGTCCGTGGGGAATAGATAGACGATTATGACATCATCAGAAAGGGCCGCTGTTAACACAGGATTTCGCCACCTACCTCGAGTGCGACCTTGGTGCCCCAGGGTCTCAATTTGCTCCACCAGGTCATTGGAGTTCCACTGACTCATGCCCAGGAGGATGGCGCTCTTGCCCTCCACCATTTCTGCCACAAAACAAGAGGAAAGAGAACCGGGTAAAGCCACAGTCGTGGGCTGTAGGGCGGCGTGGGCCTTAGGAAGTGACAGCATCTCCCGGCTGTTTGTGCTTTCTCGTGTGCGACAGGGAGCATTGAAACCAGCCACAAGAATCATCTTTGATCCTCTATGATATAGTTAGAAAGAATCGAGTGCGTTATGTAACAACCGACACACGCGCCTATGTGCTCACTGTACATGCAGAAGTACAACAGCACCTGAGGGCCTGGGCGGACTTGTTCAAATAGGAACAAGAAAATTATCTTCAGAAGGAAATACCCGGACACTCACGCTAAAGCACAGGAAAGCTAAAATATAAATGAAACATAAATGAAAGCACTGTGACTCATTTAAGCGAGGGAAGAAAAGTGGAGGAGAGAGAGAGGAATCCAAACATGCGAGCTTGTTCAGACCAGACATCCACTCCTATGCTGCGGCAGATGGTGTCACAGGAGCCAAGAGCACAAACGGCTGCAAGATCACTGACGTGGCGAATTAAGAGACTGAATACATTCAGTCGGCTCATCCGGGGCAACATCCAGAGAGAAACACTGGAGATAATAAAGCCTTTGCCATCCGTCAGGGGGGCTTTAAGGCATGGGGTTACCCTGGCTGAAGCTCAGGGGCCTCCACTAACAACAGGGGCCTCAAAATTGACCCCCCCCCCATCACGGCCGACAACTTTTACTGCCCCCACCTTGGCTTCCATATGGTACCTGCCTTATACACCATGCCAACGTACCCCCTCTCCACAACCACAGTAATAATTCCCTAGTTCAGCAAATTTCTGGTGGGAAAATGAAAAAAAAGTCCCATTAACCAGTTCTCTGGTCCTTTGACCCATTAAGTTCCCCTGCTGGTGCATCGGATGAAACTAGTGAGTAAAATCAAATGAACAAACAACCTCTTTAAGGATCATCACTGTCATGCTCCTATATTAACAATGAATAAAAACCTTTTAAATGAATTGAAGAGCAAATTTACGAAACCCGCACAGTCCACAGAAATTTAATGAAAACTCTTCACCGAACTACATGAGGATTGTGTGAGTTTTAGTTCCCTTTACTGTAACATGATGAGGAAGCATGACTTTAAGTAATTGGCGGTCCCGTCTCAAGAACAACACCGAATGGATTGAGTGATTTTTTTAAATTTGCTCTTCAATTTACACATCCAGCTGTCCGCTCTGGACAAGCAGTAAGTGTAAGACGGTATGTGTTTGCCTGTCGTTCAATCAGGATTTTGTGGTGGTGTTTAAAACAATGAAAACTGTCCCTGCTTGTAATTGGCCCTCATAAAGAATCTGCACTCAGTTAAACCCAATGGAATGGACCTCTGCTGTGATACATGGAACTCTCCGGCTCATCTTATGGAGCTCTGAGAGAGGAATAGAGAAGACGACATCAGAAATGCATTCTGTTTTCTTGCCAGCAGTCCCATGTGACATGAAATGGCATTTGACATTAAATACTTTAACATGAATAGCTTTAATTACTGGGTTTCAGTCCAGTCTCTTAGCCAAGGTATAATTAAATTTACCATCTCAGTGTATTTAACAGCAGCAGGTTTTAAAAACCCTGTTCCATGCCTGTCAGGCGAATTTAAATTGCTTAAGCAGCATCGCATAACATCCACCTTTACAGCGTTGTATCAACTGCACAGAATCACACAATGTGTCAGGCTGTGAGCTGATGAGGCCCGTCTGGATAGAAGGTGTTTGCTAAGTGTTTGGTCCATATATCATCTGCATAATGCATGGAAGGGCTGCTCCAGCACTCCTGCCGCCGAGGACGACACTTTGAAGAGGATCCCTTCATGTTTTTATAGAGCTGGTTGCAGTGAGCCACAGCACGGCCCCTTACTAAAACTGCTAGATATTTTGTTCAAGAAGTTCAGGGTATGTGCATTTCTCAAAGGTACAACATTAGGGCGCTTCTGGGACTATAAATGGCAATCATTCAAGCTCAGGACATATGTCACACTCTATAATGACATCACAACACTGTGACAGGTCAAAAGTCACAACAACATAAGAAAGGCAGAAATGTTTGGATGAGTTGCAGAGATAGAATATGTACATGGTCTGAAAGGTGCTTGAGCAAAAGCAAATTCATTATACAGAGTGAGACAGATGATCTGTATGCAGAAAGACAAACTTCGTCTGTGCACATGGCAACCCGCAGACCCACAGATGCCTGGGTGGCTGAATTCATCAACAAGCTCTGTCTTGTTTCAAGAATATGTGAAATGAAAAATAATAAGCTGGGTTTTTTATTCTGCGTATTGAGATATTGCGAAGTGATTTCAATCGCCCTCCGCGTTGAAGTGTGCACGTGACATTCCCTCTAAAAGAAAAAAAGCCATAAGTGGGAAATTGATGTTCTGAAGCCTCACCTCTCCTGCATTTCATCCCTTTTGATGTCCTGATTAAATGAAGAAAGGTAAAGATCGCAGACCGCCATAGACTGGGGATGAAACCGGTATGTAAACTACGAGGCGGACCTGGGTCAGACTGTTCCGGCTCACTGTGCCTATAGGGCTCACACCTTTCCTCGTCGCTTACTTGACTGTACCATCCATTCCAACAGTGCTGTTCCACCGAATCCAAAGTGTGCCACAGTGAAAAGGAGATGCTGTGTCATTCTGGAATGGTCCGGTCTTTGAACTTTGCTGCATAGCTACATTCCAGAATATTTAAGTTATTGCATATTAATTGTAATTGTACTGTGACATTCCAGAATGTAGAGATTCATCAAAATGTTGCTCATGAATTATCATGCTCATGTATTTCTTCAGAGTGAAGGTGGTAAATCTAGGCTCAGGAGTCCCAGAGGATATAATGAATCCATTCTGAGATGTACCAGTGATTCTTAATACAAGATACTGTTCAAATATGAGGCCACCTGTTTACATAAATGTTAGATATATTAAAGGAATCACATTATCAATTAGTATTATGACATAGGAAAGATGACCCAAATTAATTAGTATATTATTATGGTCACAAATAAGCTATCGTGCCTTTTCTGCAACTTTGATGAGTGTCCATAATAACTGCAAAAACACAATTACCCACGTATGTCAAAAAACAGAAATTATGTGCATACCATGTAGTATGAAAAAAAGATTAAAAATCCACTATGGTGTCTTTTTTTGACCGTAGAAACTGCGACAAGACGCGCACCAGCTTCCGAACACATAATGTTCTGCTTTTCCACTGTTCCAACTAAAACACTCTCATATGATATTTCACACAGTATAGTCTTCGTTCCACAAAAAGACAGCTTACTGCATTAACCCCAAACTGGTCTCACAATTTCCGTTTAATAAACTCAGAATGAAATTTGAAGAAATTATTATTTTGAAGAAGGAAATGTCTGGGAAAATTGATAGATATACTTTATTAATCGCAAACAGGGAAAAAATCCATATACTTATACATTAAAAAAATTAATTCCAGCAAAGTGGCCGGGTGGGCTTTCAGGTGAAGGTATTACAGGATCAACCCCGCCCCGGGGTCCCCATAATATGATAATATTAGGAAGGGGAAGTGGGGGGGGGGGTCCAGTATGTCTTCAGAGTGAAAGCCTCAGGAGTACCAGGGAATTAATGCTATATTTTGTGAGGAACTTTGTCACTGAGTGTGTTTTTCTTCATCACTGTCACAAACAGCAGTGCTTCTCCAAAGTGAGCCGTGGCAGGGAGTGTGGGGTGGGGGGGGGGGTGTTATCACAGCTGGAGCTGTGGCTGAGGAGCGAGGCATGCTGGGAATGCGGAATGGACTTCAGGCCTGGTTCAGCCGCAGTGCCGGTCATCGGCACCCTGCGACAGCCTGTGGCCGTCTGGGCATCTTACGCCGACTTCAGGTCCCATCTGCATTCTCAGGGCCGGTCTGGCCGGTAAGAGCTCCGAGCTCATGCACTGAAGAGGCCCCTTTGTTCTGTGTTTGCTCATGCCGTTTTGTTAAAGGTCTCTGATCGGTAAGGATCCTGGTCTCTAGTCATACCGATGAATATTCATGAGCAGATAATGAGTGGAATATTCAAACGACGGCCTCCAAGCACAAACCCAGCACTGATGAATATTGATAAGCAAGTGTTTCCAGCTTCCACTTTTGACACAGGCTACTGAGGGACCTATTTCTGGAAAAGTCTCCCACTATATAATGCAGGTCTTCCCCTGAATCTTCCCCCACACAGAATTAACTGACTTAAACAGTCCTTTGGTGAAACATACACCTCACATACAGGGAAACGTTCAATAAGGGCTGAATATACTGCGAGTTAAAAACCGCCGTCACCACTTCCAGATTAAACCAGCGATTCTCAAACCAGTCCTTGGGGGCCCTCAGAGAAGAGAACTGGGAGTGAGCAAAACATGGACCGTCTGGGGGTCCCTAAGCACTGGTTTGAGAAACACTGCACTAAACCATCACTGTTACTCAGTAAATCGTCACTGTTACTCACTAAACCACTACTCAGAACCTCTGGCAGCAGTTTTACTCACTAAATAGGAAGCCATCTGCAATCCCTAAGATTCTAGAGTCTCTCTTCCTCCTCCATATACTCCCCCTGCTCAGACAGCGATCACCTGTACCATGTGACTCATCTCAAGGTGCCCCATCCTGTCAGATGTTTGCCATCAGTAATCAGAATCCTTGGGCTCCCAGGAGGATGGTTTTTGTTAAAGGCAGATAACTCTGTCAGACTCAATTAAATATTCACTCTGGGAGCCCTAACAAAGTGCCCCCCTAAGGCTCCACCCATGTCCCCCCCATTCTCTGAAGGACATTTTCAATGTGCGCCGGAGCGAAGAGGCAACCAAAGAAAAGCAGAGAAGATCAGGGGCCGACTTACCCCGAGCATCGAAAAACTCGTCATCTGAGCTATCGACGGACTCCTGTGCAATGTTCTGCAACCGCCACTTGGGGGCGCTGTACTTGTATGTGGCAGCTAGAGGGCAGGGGAGAAACAAGGAGAGTTTGTGGTTAATTGTACAAAATGTCTCTTAAAGACATATTCACCACCGAGAGCCTGTGCTTTCCTGTAATGCACCCTTCTTTCCCACAAGTCAAACAGAGCACAAGAAATAAAAAGAAGTAAAGTGTGGGTCAAGCCAGGAATTGTAGCTGAAACAGCCTGATGGTTAGAGAAGTATGCTGCTGAAACACTGAAGCATGTTCCGCTTGCTCGTAGTTCACCAAAAGATACTCTGCTATTCAATGTGGTCCCACAAACTCGAAGGACACTGTACCGCTAGACTAGCACTTTTATAGACTAGCTCTGCATTTAAAAAGCAGCTTCGGTGCTCTGGAGACAGGGTGTCCAATTAGAACTGGGTCAGCACATAGCAGGTCCAGAGCAGAAACTTATCACATCTGTAGCAGTCTGTGGATATCAGTAAAACACAAAATTAAAGTAATACAGTGTGTGTGTGTGCGTGTTTGTGTGTGTGTGTGTGTGTGTGTGTGTGCGCGCGAGCGGGTGTGTGTGTGTGTGTGTGCGCACAATGTAATAAAAACCTGTTATTTTGATGTTGTGGGGACCATTATGTTATGTGTCCCCACAATGTGATAAAAACCTGCTGTTTCAACATTGTGGGGGCAATTTTTTCTGTCCCCACAAGAGGAAACTCATTTTTATAAAAAAAAAATTGTGACTACAATCAATAATGTCCAAAGTCTTTTATTTTTTTAAGAAATTAGGGCTAGGTTGGGGTTAATGAACGAAAGTTGCATTTATATAGTGCTTTTCAAGACACCCAAAGCACAGTTTCCCCATCGCTGCACTAGGATTCACACAGAGCACAGGATGGCCTGACCTGCTGGCCACACCAGTGCCTCTTCCAGCAGGTGGCCTCCCATCGGCACACTGGCCACACTCAAGCCTGCTTAGCTCCAGGTGGATTTACCCAGTCTGAGCTGCAGGTGGGATGGCTGCTGCTCAAGGTTGTCATTGTTGGGATTAGGGTTTTTCCCACAGAAATTAATGGATGGTCCCCAAAAAGATAAGAATACAAACGTGTGTGTGTGTGTGTGTGTGTGTGCGTGTGTGTGTGTGTGTGCATGTGTGGGTGCCATGTTTTGACCTTTCCAGGTTTCCTATCCAAGGTTGCCAGGTACCCCATGTGAACTGTACAGTCAGGATCACTGTGAGCAAAATCCTCGTTTCGGTCAGATGTAGAGGAAACCAGCAAGAGCAGTGAGAGGAATAGGAAAAAAATCAGAGACGGAAAAGAAGCGAAGAGCCGGCTTTGCCAAGTGTCCCACACGGCGAGACGTCTCAGTGATGTAATTCTGTTTGGTGAGCAGCTAACAGAAGATAACTGGAGTCACGGGCGGGGGGGGGGGGGGGGTTGGTGTGTTCTGACCTCCTGAGACTACCCAAGCCTTGGTATTCCATCCTCCCACTTATCTGTACCGCAGACGGCTGAACTGCATGAGACAGTCCATCTTTAATTAAAAACCGGGGAGCAAAAACACACAGCGTGCTGAATTTGCACGATTCGTGCACCAGGTAGTGACCTTGCATCAAAAACCCATCGGATCTCCTGAAACGGAGAGACAGAGAATGACGCCTAATACCTCAGTATTTAAACACATAAACATCATAACACATAAAAGGATTTAAAGGTGGGTCCAGACACATAGCTGGTATATTTATTTGCTACAAACTGGTCCTGATGTAATAGCCAACTGTTATAGGAACTAGTGTTATTACAGTTTTGATTTTTTAAAATTTAATCTTTATTTTTATATTATTTTCAGTTTTCGTTTGGAATACAGTTTAGTTTTACTTAGTTTCAATGTTGTTTTATTAGTTTTTATTTTTAGATCTTTTTCTATTTAGTTTTTGAGTATTTTAGTTTCAGTTCCAGTTGTAGTAATTTTATTTCCAGGGATAGACTCAAAGTTGTAGAGCTATTTGATGTATCTGATCTTTAGAGTATCTCACATGGACACACAACACCCATTATGTATTAATGCCCCAATATGGGCAAACCATGTTCCAGGCATTATTTATGCTAATTAGAGATATACAAATCATTACTTTAGTATATTTAAATGGCAATAGAAAGTATTTGATCCTTGTTTTTATTTTATTACCATTATTTTTGGAAGTAATATTTCGTAATGCTTTACATTTCCAGCCCCTTCATAATTCCTTCATAATGCATTCATAGAGCATTCATAAACAGTAAGTATACCGTAGCATCTTAATATCGTTTAACAGCTGTATTACACAGCAATAAGAAACATTATATAATAACAAACATTATAATCATATTATGTTTGTTATGAATGTGTATTAATGCTGTAAAGATTTGTTAGCATGTTATGGTGTACTTTTAGGCTGCTTATGAAATGCATTATAAAAGACATCCTGAAGGTGTAGTTAATGAAAAGCTTTACCCAATATTAACAGTTTCTGCTTAATTGTAGTTTTGAATTTTATTTTCGTATATTATTTTATTTCAGTTACGAAAATATTTTAGTTCTCGTTAGCGATAGTAACCCTCCAGTGTGAACATCACCAGCTTTTCATTTGCAGCCTAACTGCGCTTGGTTCGGTTCAGTGGTTCAATAATCGCCCCGACAAAGCGACCTCCTGCTTTTACCCAGGCCTGTGTAAAATAAATAAAGGATGAAATAACTGGCTAATGGCACTCATTGTCCGAGTTTAGCTACGTCTCTTCCTTCGCCCATAATTGGCTGATCGGTCCATTTTCTCCCACGTGTCAGGAGCTCCTCTGATGTTGGTGAAAACGCAGAGAGAGAGAACGGGCATCTAAAGCAGAGAGAGAGAATGGGCATCTAAAGCAGAGAGAGAGAACGGGCATCTAAAGCAGAGAGAAATAATGGGCATCAAAAGCAGAGAGAGAGAACGGGCATCTAAAGCAGAGAGAGAGAATGGGCATCTAAAGCAGAGAGAAATAATGGGCATCAAAAGCAGAGAGAAAACGGGCATCTAAAGCAGAGAGAGAGAACGGGCATCTAAAGCAGAGAGAGAGAACGGGCATCTAAAGCAGAGAGAGAGAACGAGCATCTAAAGCAGAGAGAAATAATGGGCATCAAAAGCAGAGAGAGTGCTATTAACGATGTGCCCGTGATCCTTATCGGCTTTTTTCCATCCCACCGGTCTTACGACGACACAGCTTTCGTTCACACATCAGAACGTCAGTCGCCAAAGCAATAGACAGTCACTGATGGAGGCCCTCTGAGTTAATCGTATTCTGAGCTGTATGAATAAAAGGAGGTCAGAGAGAGAGAGAGAGAAAGGGGCAATAAAGCAGGGCAAAGTTTCCAAGTATGAATCGACTGAGGCTTAAGCACCAGCGCAAGCCCCAATAATGCTCTCGTAGTGATCAGTCATACAGGCATGGTGCCGTGCAAATCAGCACCCCAAGAGGAATGTCGATGTTACTACAGTCTTTATTTATATAGCTAGATGGTTTTTAAGCGACTTCTCAAAGGTACAACAGCTTGGACCCCCCTGGGCCTCATGCTGATGACCTTTGAGGCACATGCCATGTCCTGAGGTATGTGGTGGGTAATTTGTCAATTTAGATGAGCAACTGTTTTGGATCCATCGAGAGCATACACACACACGCGTGCACACACGCACACACACACACGCACATACTCACACACACACACACACACACACAGGTTTGTAATTATATTTTTGTGGAGACTCTCCATTCATTTCTATGGGGAAAACTCTAATCCCGACAATGACGACCTTAACCCCTAACCAGCCTTAACCTTAACCATAAGTAACCAAAATACAAGACTGTTGGCACATTTACTTTATTGATTGCATTCACAGATCTTTGTGGGGACACACACACACACACACATACTAAACATATACTGCCCCCACCCACGCTGAACCCTGCAGCCTCATGGATCACAAAAAAGCATTCGAGTGCTCGAAATCACTGCCTCCCCCCGCTGCAATTTCAAACCTCTTCGCGCAACACTGCCAGCTCCCACCACTGCATAAATGAATGAGCGCGCCGACAGGAGAGCGGAGGCAGAAGTGTTGAGCTCCCTCCAGCCTCCCCCCCCCTCATCCCCGGCCCCTGCACATGGGCTATTTTTAGCTCCGCACCGAATCCCGGCCTGTTGTGTGCGGCACAGTGAAAGGCAGCCCTGACGGAAACATGGGACAGAGGCGGTGGTGATTCATCAGGAGGCAGGCAGCAAGCGGGGCACGGACGGGCGGGCGGTGTGATTTCAGACAAGCGGGGTGCGGACGCGAGGGCGGGCGGATTACAGACAAGCGGGGTGCGGACACACGGGCGGGCAGATTACAGACAAGCGGCCCCTCCTTTGGTGTGTCCTTCCCAGTTTTCCTGAAGGGTCCAGTTTATCCATGCTCCCCCATTCTAAAGGGACTGGCTGAGCTGGTTTTGAACCCCACCTCAGAACCTG